GTCAGTGATCATGGCCAGGAATAGGTCACAAGTTTTCACCCTTGTTCAAGTCAATGGGGCTGGATCAGAGTTGTGCGCGCGAGCCAGATTCTGGCTCGCGTCTGGCTCGCGCATCGCGCAGTTTTGTGCGAGCCAGCACGAGCCAGGTGCCTTTTGCAATCTTCGGGTCCCTTCGACATCGCACAACTCTGGAAGGGACCCATAGATTGCCAAAGGTGCCAGGCTCGCGCGAGCCAGATTCTGGCTCGCGCGCACAACTCTGGGCTGGATTCCTCAAATGTGACTGAAATAAGATTTTCTTTACACAGTGAGGTTCACGTCATGGCAAATCATATTACTAACAATGGTAATTGACAATCAGACCAAGCACCGTTGCTAACATGTCAACCAAATGAAATGATAAGAGATAAATGTGTTTCAGTAACCAATTTTATTACAAACGTTTTGTAATGCTTAGAAAGAAAATTGACCATTTTCTGTTTGCATTCTATAAAAAGACATATGTAACGGTTGATGTTTAGTTAACAGCTAGAAAAGAAAATTGTCTACAACTTACAAAATCAGACAGTTTCCATTGTAAATATGGAGTGCTGTAAACAGTTTGTTTTAAATATTTTAACATAAAATGAAAAATGTCATAGATAAAGTTGCGCAATCATTTCTGAGAGCACAATGGCAGTACAGATAATAGAACGATTCTTATTGCAATTCTTGCAAAACTATTATCACTGAATTTTGCAAATATTAAAATTTTGAGTTTATTATGGACCTAATTATAATTAGGTCATTACAAAAACAGTTCTACACAATTCGTAATCAGAAGCAGCAGAGCTTTCCTTGATTCACATTTTTTTTTTATATAAAGAACACTAAACAGCATAAAAAATAAGAATGATGGTCGTTTTAATTACACAAAAACAACCACAGCGATTTTCTTCAGAAAGATTGAAAAGCTAGTTTGAAATGATCCGAAATAGATCAAGTAGTACGCTCACTTCTAAATTGGTGAATAGAAGAGAGGACTTACTGTAATCTAATGCATCTATTGATCCAAATAACAATGGCGTTTACAGAGTGTTATTGCCGGAAGTCCATTCAGTTCACAGAGGAACAATTGTTTTGAGCAAATTTTCACACCATTTAAAACATTTGTGTCTTCTCCTGCACTGTGCAAGTGTGTTAAAGCTGAGATACTATGACTTTTTTTATGAAACATATTGTGACAATATTGTTAAAAATATGACACCTAATAAATTAATTTTAAAGCCAATAAAAACTCTAAACACAATGAATGAAAAAGCTAATTAAATTACAATACATCATATTCATAATAATAATCATAATAATAATAATAATGATAAAAAGAAAACTACTAACATAATACCTATCAAGTACGGTTCGTAGTCCTTGACACTGACAACATTTTCAAAGAAAATTTGCTTTGCGAAGTAGTTGTGTTTAACTGCTTCTTCAAAAAATATAAATTTGCTTAAAACTTTGTAAGAAAATTGAAACAAAGAACATTCAATGGCAAATTTCTCTAGGTCAGAGGTCTGGAAAACACATAAGGCAAAGAACAGAGAAGCAAGCTACATAGATAAATAATGTCCAATCGAGGTTGGAGGGTTGAGTTGTGAGCTGGTTGAATGGACGGTAACATAAGTTCTAAAAGCATACTTAAACCAATTGTAGCCATTTAAATACCCTGGTCCACCTTTGACCAGTAATTAAATAATAATACACATCTTTGCATTATATTGTTTGAATGTAAGAATGACAGTGTCAGTGCTGAATGCTTTATATTGTCTGTACGGAGCCATTTGTGCTGTACAGCAATCACATGGTAAATAATTAGTACATTTCAATTTCTATTTTGAAAGCTGTTTTGCATATACTATCTACAGAGTCAATAAATACTAATTTTTCACAGCTTTTTAGTTCAGCAG